TTGTTTGTCAAAAAAGGGCATCAAACCATATAGTAGAATAGCCTTCAGTTCCCCCGTGACTTTTGTAGCATGATCAGAACGAGCCCTTCCAATCATAGAAAGCACCATTTCAGCAAAAATATTTAAGATTTGACTCAGTTTTCCCAAGAGCTTCTCCTAATTATTTGATACTCTAATCATGCTCTTTCAAAACATCTGTAACATCAGCATCCTTCCCATTTTTCTCTCCTTAATTGTTAATGGTGACCTCCACCAACTCTTCAGTTATCCACAGCAGGTTTGAGCAGCTCTCCCACTTTGCCTTCTTCAACTTTATACAGTTCTGCTTTGTATTTATTTATTTTTGCAATATTTGCACTTACATTCTGCAATGCATTTGCAGTTGGGAGGGTTTTTGTTTTGTTTTTGCTGTAACGCCAGATGGTCCCAACAATCAACAGAGACCAGCTGACAAAGACATGAACTGTACAGATGCTAGCATTTGGGAAGGACTGTCAAGGTGAACACTAACATTGTGAGCAGTCAGCTCATTGGTGACTGCTGTGTGTGATTAGGGCTTTTCCTCAAGGACTCAGGCAGCAACCACTGCTTACAGAGGACATCCTGCATGTGTTTGTAGGTCTTTCACCCCTGTGGGCCCAGGGCTCCTTGGGTGCAGGCAGGGATCTGGGCTTCCTCAGATGCCGTCAGCACTTTCATGTTAAATAAATGAGTGAACAGTCCAGGTAGAACTCAATTTCTTGTATCTTTTGACTAGAATTTCTCCAAAAATCATTCCATATCTCTGTGTACCTCTTCAAATCACAGCTTTGTTCTCAGCCCTGCCCATTTGGAAAGAGCCAGGGACCCCTGACCTCTAGTTCTGAGGGTGTTCTCATTATCATCCTGTCAATTTTTCCAGAATGCAGTTCACTCTTCGTGCAGATGTCCTAAAGGGGAGCAGCAGAAGTGGTGGCTCAGTCTCTCAATCCTTTGGATCTTTTAGTCCAACTCAGGAAATAGTTACCAAGTGCCCAGATCGGCTTCTTCAGTGCAGATCACAGGCCAGTGACTCCCCAAATGACACCCTCTGTGCAGAGAGTAGGCACTGGCTGCTTGTCATCAAGCGGGTCCCCAAGGGCCTGTTCCTGCCCTGCCCTGAGCTCATCTCCCGCTTCCTTGAAGAGCTGTGCTGTGCCACCTCCCCGCCTGTGTCCGGCACCTCCACTCTCTTCCTGTCCCATCCTTCTGTATGAATACTGCACAGTCTCCAGGATTCAGCTGAAGCATCACCTTCACTGTAAAGCATTGTAAATATGCACCCCTTCTCTCCTGCAGAATTGATCTTTTCCAACCCTGTGTCCCCACGTATGGGTTAATATCCCAGCCACCTGCCATGGCCCTGACTCTACATCCCTCCTCCCATTCTCTGGGAAGGGATTGAGAATAGGACCACAGCATCTCTTTCCTCTTAGTTTATTGACCCCATATTTGGAACACAGGTAGGCAGCACTGAAATGTCTGTTGAAGGAAGAAATGAATAATTACTACTTTTGCACAGTTTTTCTTCCTTACAGGCATAGCCTGAAAATTCCCTGAGCTGTTTTTCTCATCCCTACCATCAGCAGTGCAGCGTTTGACCCTAGGAGATGTTCAGTTGGAATTAAAATGAATGATCACTTTCCCTTTTGGGTACTCTTGCATCCTTGGGCCATCTGTGCCCTAAGAACAGGACTGTCCATCTCGTGTCCTGCCATTGAAGAACCTAACCTTCAAGGCTGAGAGCCTGGTTCTGTGGAGACGAAGAGCTGGGGTGGTGAATTTAGATCACACTTGCAGAGCATCTGCTAGAACGCAGTCTGCAGAGAACAAGTTGTTGAGCCTAAGGAGACCTCCTGTCATATCCCAGAGCGTGGGGTTATTGCGTGGTCTTTAAACATTACCTCCTTACAGACATCCAAGTGGCACTTACATTTGTGAATTCCCAAGCCCGCATTTGCTTCTCGTCCTTGATCTCATTTACTTAAAATTGTAGATCCATCCACTAACCCGGAAGGCGTGAGACTCTGGACAGAGAAATATGTAATGATTTTTACTTTTTGTATGGTGTTTCATTGGTTAAGTTTTTGCCTCTGAAACTTGAAAGTAAAAGGTATTGTCCAATTTCTGGGTTTTTCTCCACTTTTAAGACTACAACAAGGCAGAAACTGGAGTGAGAAGCAGAGGGCTTTTAAAACAGACATTTGAGATGAGTTGAGGTGTCATTTAGTCCCCATGGAGGTTGGGTCTGCTCTGGAGGGGTCTGTCCACCTTGACTTTGTCAGCAGTGGTGTGGTGAGTAGTAGGCTACCATCAGGTGGTTCCTCTCCCATTTGGGGACAGCTTTCTGCTTCAAAAGAGCTTTGCTGGAGCTAAGGTCAAATCTTCACAGGCAAATACCATTTCTCTAATTCAAAAATGCAGATTTGACATTCTACACATAGCTACATAGGGGTGCTGCATCAGAAGGGAGCTTACCATTGATCCCTAAAAATAATAAGAGTTGTGGTTGATCCGCTTTCTATGCAGGTTGAAAAATATGGTGAATCTGGAAACTACACTGAAATCATTTATTCAATAAATATTTATTGAGTTCCTGCTGTCTGGGAGACCCAAGGCTCAGCACTTGGATTACAAAGATGAGTAAGACAGGACCCCTGCTGAAGAAAGAGCTCCTGGAGGAGGGAAGACATAAACAGATGATTACAAAACCTGGCATACCACCAGGGGAGGACAGTACCATGCAGAAAGTCTGAGCAAGCTTCAGCAAGATGGGCACCAAACATAGGAGAAAATGAGGGAGAGCCCTCTGGTTGGGGGTCATGAATTGCATGTGTAAATAGAACACGAACTAGCTCATTTGCACGCAGAAGGCTAGAGCACCCATTGCGGGGAAGAAGTGATCCCTGAGGACAGTCAGTGGGGGGCCCCGCGAGAGCCTCCTTGAGGACAGTGCCCCCCCGCAGTAGCATATGTGCCCCCTGGCCAGCACCCAGCACTGGTCACCCAGCCTCCCTGTGGCGTCTGGCCTGCCTGTTCCACATCCCAGCCCAGTCCACATGACCTGTCTTCCCCCATCATTCTGCAGTGATCTGCTGCCCCCAACATTACAAAGAATCCATTTTTAGAAGATTTGCAACAACAAAAATAAATAGGAACCATGGGGCTCTCTTTGGAGGTTATTTCTTTTTTTAATGAAGGTGTTACACAGCCCTCAAACCAAGCAATTAAAGAAAAACCAGCTGCACTAGCTTCCCCAGGGACTCGACCCTTAAAATCTTTGCAACAGAGAAAATTATCTGGGGAAAAATAGACAAATATCTAAGAAAACGCTTCAAATTTGAAAAACTGGGAAAATTTAAAGGCACTAAATTCTCATGAGGACTTGACTACATTAATTCTGAGTAAGCCAAACATAGAGCTAACTCAGCAAGTACCCACCATCTCTCTTGGGTGCCAAATGAAGAATTCTGTGTGTTTCTTCTTAAAGGCATGCAGGGCTGTTTTCTCACATCCAGGGGCTGCGGGGCTTGGGGGAATTTATCTGCAGCTACCTTATACCCATCCACTTGGTTTTACTGCGGAGGGGCGGATTTCTGTCTGTGCATGTTTCAGAGGCTCACTGGCCCTCACCTCCCTGTGCAGAGTCAGGTGTATGGGCTGACGGGAAGCACACCCAAGCCCCACAGCCATCCGCTGGGACCATGCTCTGAGAGTGAGTATGACTGCATTTCACCCCATCATCCTCCAGGTCATTTGCTGCCACATGTTTCCTGTAATTCCGACTTTTTGAATGTAATTCAGACTTATTGATGTATTTTTTATGATTCCACACAATGCTCCCTGAGGTCTCCTTCATGCTTTAATGTGCCCCTCCCGTGTGCAGCAACGGAACATTCTCCTTCTCCATACTGGGGTGTTTCTCTGATGTCTCCCTGCCTCAGCTTTCCGGAGGGGGCCGGTCTCAGGAGATCAGAGGTGGGTTCGAGCACTCTGGGTGTCACTTTGCTTCCTTTCCCTCGTGTGCCTCCCACACTTACAGCTCCACACTCCTTGTAGATCCTTAGTGTAAGTTCTGTTTTATGCCTTTCATCAAATATTGCCAATGCTGAAGCAATGTGTTCTTTTTCTCGGAGGATCAACGCTACAGAATATTTACGTATTGACTGGGGTAGGTCTTTGGAGCTTGTGTTGTTCTCATGCCTGGGCTTGCTGGCTGACTTCAGTCATTCACTTGGGGGGCATTTGTGGAGACGGAATGTGTGTCAGGCACTGGCCCGGAGCTTCGTGTTCATTTCCTGCAGGAACACACTGGAGAGGGTCCATGCTTCCCAAACCTATTTTTCTAAGCCTTATTTTCAAATCTATCACTTAACAAAGGATTTTTTAACTGTTCTAAGAGCAGCCAAGGCAATGTTGTTTGAATGTTAAAATTTCTCTGATTTTTCCATGGCCTGTGGATTAAATCAGACAAAATATTTGGAATCTGAACTGACAAGGAACATACAGATGGTATGGTTCCCAGTCATCAGAATCAATCCCAGCTGCCTCTTTAAAAATACCTGTGTAAATTTTTACTTTTCTGTTCAGATCATCTTGCGTGAGTGATTTTATAAGCCTCGTAGTAACTGAAGTCTTTGTTGCTAAGAAAAAATTAAAACACAAACATTTGGGTATCACTGTTAGCTTTATTCATCTATGGCTTTTAGTTTGATGCTCAACTTTTGCTGTATTTAAATACTTGGCTGACCAGGGCAGGGTGGGGGAAGCTGAGTTAGAAGGGCTCCTTTGAAAACATGGCAGGAACTTAAAAGACAACTCAAAAAACCCAGTCCTTTGTTGTACAGTTAGCAGTTCTTTCCCAAGGAAGTTTTCTCACCACTAAACTATTCAGCTGTGTTTGGCTTTCTCCTCTCTCCCTGGCTGGGGTGTCCACTGAGACCCTCAGATTCACACTGTGTTATTCCCTTGCTGTGTTCCAGTCTCCGTCTCCTGGCAGCTCCTCCCCCCTGGGTGCAGAGTCTTCAGGTACACCCCTTCAACCCAGTGACCCTGCGGAAGCCTCCACACATAAAGAGGTAGGGTGACATTTTGTTCCAAGGGCAATCAGCCTGTTTTTATTCTAACTTGGGTTTATGCTTTCTTCAGTCTCCCACAGAGCTTCTGACCCAAATTACCCTGGGGGGAAAAATTCTAACTTGTCTTCTCCAGTGTGGAATTGGGTGATTAAAGCGGTGCCATCCAACTTTGCAGCCACTAGCCACAGGGGTCTCTTTTAAAAATAAAGTGAAAAATTATCTTCCTCAGGCACTCTAGGTACTTTTCAAGTGCTCAGTAGGCACATGTGACCAGCGGCTGCTGTACTGGAAGGAGGGATGACAGGCATTTCCCTCACTGCATAAAGCTTTTGGACAGTGCTGGCCATGGGACACCAAAAACTCTGTGTAGCAGCATCCTTCCTCCTGGTACGAGCCTCTGATGCCATGGACTTACAGTTGCTATGTGGCTTGGGAAACGGGTTGGTTTCTTAAATACCCAGGTGAAAATATCTTTCATGACAAGAGGGTGACCACTTGTCCTGGTTTTCCTGGGGTGGGGGAAGTTCCAGTTCACACCTGTTGTGCAAGGAGTGCACCTAGTGAGCACCCTTTCTGCATTGATGGAAATGGTCTACTTCTGTACTGTCCTCTGTTGTAGTCACTAGCTACAGGTGCCTAGCGAGTCCTTGAAATGTGGCTGGTGGAACTGAGGAAACGAATTATGCATTTTATTCCATCTTAATTAACTTAAATAGTCATGTGTGGCTAGAGGGTACTGGACAGACAGTGTAGCCCTCAAGTGCCCCTCTTGGACAGTAAGTCATATCATCACCCACTGACAGAGACCAAACAGAGCTCCAGCAGGGAGCATTTAGGGGAAGACTGTGCTTGCTCCCAGAGGTTTCTGTGGCTGTAAAAGGGAGGCTGCTTTTCTCTGAGGGAAGCCACTGCTTTCTCCAGCACTGGCATCCTTTTACACCCAACGAATCACCACCTGCACCTGTTTCTGAACCAGCATCAGGTAAATAGTGGCCTGTTCACTTTAAATACAGATGCGTTCAGCTCACTTTAAATATAGATGCTGCCTCATCAGCACTGAGAATATGCATCAGACAGAGGTAAACCCTATAATGAAGGATTATCGCATTTTCTTTCTTTTGCTCATAATTTTATGTTAAATGCAATGTAAGAAAGCAATCTCCATTTAACCTACCAAATCACTTCCAAAGAAAGTCTTAGTTAAAATTTACCCCTAAAATACTATTGCATACACATACATTTGCTATTAACTATTTCTGCAGGGGAGAAGTCTATTTTTAAATAATTTATTCATATGAAACCAGACAAACATAAGGAGACCTTCTTTGAAACAACACCAACATAAGAATTTAGACTTGAAATATACTTTGTCCTCCTCTGGCTTTGATCCTCAGACCATAGGCCATGGGAGCAGGAGGAACAGGGTTAGTTTCTGCTGGCCCTACTTCCCGCACCCTCGCTTTATGCTTTATGCATAGCACAGAGTTAAGTGATAGCAAAAAGAAAGCATGGCAGCCATAGTGAGAATAATAGTAAAGAGAGTTACCATTTCTTGAGTATGTGCAGTGTTCAGGCATTAGGCCAAGCAGATCACAGATAGTATCTCATTTAATCTGTAAACTAATTTTGCGAGGTAGGACTTATTGTCCTTATTTGTTAGTTGAGGAAGCTGAGAGGTTGAGAAACTTCCCGAAGGTTCCAGGACTCACAAGAAGTCAGGTCAGGATTTGAATCCAGCACTCCTGTGGGCTGAGGCTCTTAACACCAGGTGCTGCTGTCTTTGGGGTTGAAAGTGCTTGCTGGTCACACACTGCACAGGTAAGGTGACTTGCTTGTCATTATACCTGCTGTCAAGCCTGCAAGCTCTGCACAGTTTGTATGACCTCCTGGGAAATCCCACAGATTTTGGCCTTTATCTTCTTGAAATTGGCTTTATTAATTCTTGAATGTTAAGTATCAACTAATGCTCATCTCTGTCCACATGTGAGAGAACAAAGGGCTAATCAGACATCTCAATATTCAGTATTTGATTATTCATCAGTTATAATATGCAAGGCAAATTTGTTAGTTTCTCAGTTTCCTACAGGACTCAGCACGTTTCCACATATCCTTAGAAATAATGATGAAAATCCTCTTTGTGTGCAATCATTAGAGATTCTTTAATTTCACAAAACTCTTAAAAAAAAAAAATTTACTGCCCCAGAGACTAAAAAGAGCCAGTCATGAGCTCATGAATAGAGAATAAGTACCTGTACCAAGAGCCCTCTGCTGTGGCTCTAAATAAAACAGCAGCTTTTAGAACTGTAAAGCAATCCTTCTGTAGCTTCTGCTAAAATCTGGACACTGTCCTTGAGATTAACATTCAGGAAATATCCTAATAGCCTGAGAAAATCTGACATGGCTTCTTGGATATACCTGAAGGATGAACCATGTTAGTTAAACACAGGGAACCCTCATTATGCCAGGCCCTTAGCTGCTGAGGGCAAGAGTGAGGACATGGTTAGGGAATAATAATTTTTAAATATTTGGCTTCCATCTGCATATGGTAAAGTTATGGATTTTTTTCTTTAAACCAATAGACTGGGCTGTTGGCACTCAACTGGGCCTGTCTTCTCATTGGGTAAATGGAAAGTAAAGTGAATGTAAAGCTCTGCTGAAATGGTAGTCTCTTTCCCCCATCCACGTAACTTGGCCTTTACCTGGCGTGCATTTTTCCATAAATGCATTAGCAGCCAGTAATTTTTCATTCCTGATGGTCTTAGAGCTGTGGTTTCTTTAAAGGTAACCCTTTCTCAAATGAGAAGCCCACCTCTTTGATGTGAGGAGCTATTTCATACCAGTGAGCACAGCTCCAGCAGGCTTATGAACAGGTTGCCCTGAAAAGATATTTGTGTGGTTAGTGTAGAATTCTTGTCATTGTCCTGAATTGAGTTAGATTCATAAAACTGGGTTTTTTTGACTGCCTCCTATTTTTTACATAACAGTCAACTCTCCCAGAGAGTTAGAATTAAATTAACTAGTTAATCATCCCCTTGCCATTCCCATCTTCAAACAAAGAACACTGTATAAAGTGCTAGGAAGTGGAGTTCTTTCCCACGATGCCCCAGCCCTCCTCCAAGGGGGGTACTTCTTGTTCCAGCCTGGTATACCATCAATACCAGTCAACCTATAGAACAGCTCTGCTGTACTGGACACCCTTTTTCTAAAAGATATGTATTTAAATGAACACCTAGTTCGGTAGATTCTTCACAGTGACAGTCTCTAGGCTTTCTGAGGATAACCCTTGACCACACAAACCCCACTTTTTGCCCTTTTTAGGGACTCTTTGTCTTTGACATTAGCTGTCCACTTCTCCTGTGATGCTTGCCCCAGACATGTGAGCTACAAATGCTGTCACCGGCTGAAGCAGGCATGAATTTCCTACTCTTAGGCCACTCAGAGTTATCTCTAGGATATTTGCTCATGAAAGGACCTGAAGCCCACATCTTGCCCCCTTGAGAGCCTAGCATTTGAACTGCTGCCATAGCCACTTCCAATAGTGCTGTTGAGACTGACCTTTGCTGTGGCATATTAATATAAGAAATTCCAGGTTTTTAAATTTATACCTTTGTTTGTTGTATTCTTATTTTAAGGCAACACACTATAATTTCTTACATATTGGAATTTTAAACTAAAATAAACCAGTAAAAGATGAAAGGAAGAGATGAAAACTCAAGAAAATATTGTTAGCACAGTGAGAGATCACTGCAGCAAAGACCTAATGTGAAAGAAAATTCTCCAAGGGAATTCTTAATTTCGATATACACTCTTACTGTTGCTGCTTCTACTAGTCAGCAGTTTTCACATGAATCCCAGTTTCTTAAGAATATAAATTCAGCCCTTTTTATTGTTGTTGCTGATTATAGATTATGTTCTGGGGGTATTTTTTAGAGCTGATGAACATTGCTTATTGTATAATGTAGTATTTTCAGATTATCTAAAATATGAATGAATGGTTCTGGGCTTTGGGTAACCTTTAATAAGAAATGCATATGTTTATTCACACTTTCTATAACCAAAAAAGATTGAGAACTGGTTAACATCTGCCATTGTTGATATATTTATTTAGATTGTGTTAATGTACTTTTCATCATGCTTTACCCTTTTTGAAACTTCTCTGTCTTAATTACAGTCAAGAAAAAGCTTGGCTTCATTCCCGACCTACGTTGAAGGTAAGAGGTAAAAAGGAAATATTGAATACTGAGTCACCAACTGATCTTCCAGCTTCTGTGGTATTTGAAGTACTGGGCTGTAAGATGATAGCGGGGAAGGAAGGCCACGAAGTCACTTATTCACAGTCTTAACTGTCTTAGAGTCTTAGACAAAAGAACAATAGCTGGAAACGTCTCAAAGGTCTTCTTGCTGATTCTGTCTGTGAGAACCTGAGGCTGGGGGGAAGGGGCTGAGGGCTTTGCAGAGCTTGGAAATAGTCATGTTGGATCAAAAACCCGTCTCTTTACCTCTAGTCCAGTATGTCTCTTACATCCATCAAGGACCATTCAAATGGGAATGAACTTGAAGGGAGAAATTTTGGTCTGCTTCATTAATTAAAAAAAGACCTTCCCAATAATTCCCATCTCTTGCTTGAATAAACTAGTCAGAGTAACATTTATTAAGCTCTTACTCTCTGCCAGGTACTGTTCTAAGAACTTTCCAGTAATAATAACTAGAAAGTATTAATCAAAAGTATTAACTAATTGAATCCTCACATTGATCACATGAAGTGGGCTTTATCATTACCTTTATGCATGAGAGAACTCAGACACTGAGGGTTAATAACTTCCCCAGCATCACGGAGTTAGCAAGCAGCAAGGCTGTGAAACAACAGTCTGAGTCCACAGTTCTCCCCGTAAATGGTATTGTGTGCAGGGCCACTACACATAGTTGTGCAGGCTGTTCACTGCACAAGGGTACCCAGTCAGGGGCCAAAACTTAGCTGGAGACCTCAGCTGAGGCAGGCCACACAAATGGAGCACTTTGGATCCTGTGAATAAGCAATGTGTTTCACTCCCTGGGAAGAAAGTACCAGGATTCATAAACGTCATGAACCTCAGGCCAGAAGCCCAGGACAAGGTCCTAGGTGTAGTTCAGTTATTCAGGTTTCTTTCTTGAGGAGCTGATAAATTACTTACACTATTTTTGTGAGGTTCCAGAATTCTATGAGTGTATCTCAGGGAGTTTTTGAAAGTTTGGAGACTCCATGCCCCCAGGCTCAGCATTAACATGAGTGTGAGGATGTAACATCTGTTTGTTTACCTCCGGAGCAGCACAGTGTTATCACAGAGAGGAAAGACACACACCAAGATGCCAAAATGAAACCTGCCATTCTTTCATTTAGGACCATTATAATGTTAATTTTTTTAACTTCTTAAAAATGAAATAAAACAAACTTGTGAAATTGAAACTTTTTGTCTGGGTATGATACAGCAAAAGTAACATTTGATTATAATTAGTTTCCCAGCAGGATAAATGGCATAAGAACATATGTTGAATGTGTAATTTGTTTAGATCCAATATTTCTGTCTCTTGGCTTTTTGACATTTATACAGTCATTTAAATATTATTTAGATTGCTCTAAAACATACCAGTATATCGCTCTTTATTATTGTTGAAGAGGGACCCTTTCTGGCAAACAGAGCTGAATGAGCAATGAATATATGATATTGAAAGTCCCATAAAGAAGTACGTAGTTAATATTTTTCTTTTAACATTCATTATTTTCACAAAATAAATGGAAGGCTTATAAAAGTTAGTATCCCAGATAAAATTTTTTTCTCAATGCATGGTTGTCAAAAGTGCTTATGTTTAAGTAACATTGTTAACCTGTCACAATAATTTATCATAGAAGCCTGATAATCTTTAACTTTTTACAAGGTATAGCATGGGTCCAAACTTGTTTGAGGTTATTTTAGTTAGACTGGTGTTTCCCTCCTATACAGCTAAAACTGCATATTATAAATAACCCGAATCCTCACATCTCTGAAAGTTTCAGGGCTGGATGCCTGTGGCTACTAAGAATGTAATTCCTGGAGGCAGCTTTGGCTGTGTAACCACTCAGTGGTTGTCCAGAAATCTTTCTCAGATGAAGAGTGAGACAAATAACAGATTTCCTTATTTGATTACTACACGGATGCTTTGTGAGGACCTTCCCAAAAACACTGTTTTGGGGGAATTTCTTTGTTTCAACTGCCACCTTGGCTTTAGAAAAATGAATAGAGTATTCTAAGTCTATACCCTCATAAGAAGCTTATCATGGGAATTGGCTGTTTAAGCTCAAGATGAGCTTGATATTTAAGGATAAAAATAAAAATCATTTCAGATCAGCTCTCCAAGAGGAAAAAAATTGTTTCCATTTCAAGTTATCTAATTTAAGACCCTGAGGTTTTAACAGCAGGTTAAAATGTATATTTTAGTCTCCCCAGATATGGCAGTTAAGCCAGAAAAAATACATATATTTTCATTGTAGAATTAAAGTGCCTTTCTTAGTGCATATGTTGTAGTACCAGACATTTTAATTACAAGCTGGATTTAAAGGTGATTATGTTTAAAATCAGATGCCCCCATTTTAAATAGTTAAAACTAAGGTTTGATTTAGAAGACTGGTCAGTGAGAACAGAAAATTCTGATTTTCCTTGGAATTGATCTGTATGTGGACACAGGTCCCGAACAAGTTGCCAGCATGAGACCAGGCTTTGGGGGTAATGTTTTCTCTTTCACAGAATTGGGGAAAAGACCATTATGGGAATACAGACATTCTATAGCAAATACCCATTTTCTGGTTTATAAAATGTGTATTCCCCATTATGGATAAAGTGGAAGGGGGAGATTTGAATGGGTGGCCAGTAAAGGACATGCTGGGACATGAGATTCTCTAACAGCCTTCTGCTCACCAACATTTGTCCACATTTACTAGATACCTGCTGAGTGACAGACACTGACATGTCACAAGAGACCCAAAGATAAATCTGATGTGGTCATTCCTTGTCCCCAGATTGCTAACAGGAGAAAGAGCATCCTTAATCACTGAGTTTTATGTTTCATATACAAATAAACGCATTGTTTCTCACAATTAATAGTCTGGGTGAATAAATTACTCTCAGAAAAAATAGTTCCTTCTATTTGAAAACAAGGGGTGAGTGAAGGTAGACACAGAGGGATGCCCCAGACTAGCAGGTTGACACACCCACTCAGGGGTCTGTCTGTGGACTGGGCACCTGTGCTGGAGGTGAGCAGCTGGAGAGGGGTGGTGCACTGTCCAGGATTTGGTGGGGGAGGAGTTTGGTGGGTCTGCCCCAGGGGGTCTCGTCACCATAGCAGCTCTGTGTGTTGCAGTTCCTGGACCTTGTGACCCTGAGGACTTGATCGATGGAATCATTTTTGCTGCTAATTACCTCGGCTCCACTCAGCTGCTCTCAGACAAAACTCCCTCCAAAAATGTACGCATGATGCAGGCCCAGGAGGCAGTCAGCAGGATCAAGGTGAGCGGGGTGGGGGGCGGATGCGGACAGCCATCCACAATGGTCACCCCACACCCTGTGTATGTAGTCCTGGGTTCAACAGGGGTGGGGTGGGGTGGAGATGACGCTGCATGTCTCTGTGTACCCACTAACGGTTCTAAACAAAGAAAAATGTCCAGGAGTCCTTGTGGATAAAGGTTATGTGTTTTGGTTGTTCTTAATGGCTGGTCTTGAGAAAGGTACCTATGATAAACTTTGAAACTTTGATATGATGAGGAAGGATCATTTTGAGTATTACATCTCTGGTGTGAGAGCTTTATCACTGGATTTCCACTGACAGAGATCAGTGACTTAATATCCGTGTGACAGCATAATTCAGACTAGGTCTCATTGCTTTTGAAACAGTTGATCCTGTTCAAGCTACACTGAACTGGCTTCACGTAAAACCAACCAACCATTTGATTAAGTCTAACCTGGCTCATCTGAACAAGTCACTGGAAGGACAATTCAGTTTAGCATGAGCCAGGCACAACCTGTTTTTATCTGTTTCATCTAGATTGAAGAGGAGAAAACCTCTTCCAGAAAGAACTACTTTCATCTAGTTTAAGTAATTCACTGGTTCAACCAGCCAGAACTGGTTTGATCCCATGCAGAGCTGTAGGATCCCCACCACAGTGCCAGTACCACCTAGTCTTATGGACAAACCCAGGACCACTGGGCAGCCACACAGGAGCCTTGAGGCCATTTGGCCTGGAGCCCCAGGGATAGCATGACCACGGAAAGCCAGAGCCAGGTACTTGCAGCAAGTTGGACGAGGCTAGGAAGGACTCAGCGGAAGTGGTTTTACCCAGCTTCAGCTGATAGAAATAGATTTCCCCCTTAAGGAACCACCGTCTTCTTCGAATCTTCTCGCTCACACATTGCCAAGTCCATCCTGGTGCTTGTGTGGCAATGTGGAATGAGAAGCACGAATGGAAGGCAGTAACTTAGTCCTTAATGCAGGAGAAACTGTTCCTTGAGCACTTACATGTGGTAGGCTCAGCGAGGTCTCAGCAGGGAGGGAAAACAGCAGTTTATAAGTTGAGGTCCTGACTGTCCAGCTCAGCAGCCCACTGAGAAATGAATCAAGCCAGGGAGCATGCAGGTGCCCAAGGCGGAGAGAGGGTCACTGAGGCTAAGTACTGCACAGTGCGGGCAGACGCCAGCTGGAGTGGAGCCCAAAGTGGAGGAGGAGCAAGGACTCAGGGAGGCACTGCAGGGCAGAAGTGGTGCTTCTGGTCCTTCTGCCCAAGCTGATCACTGTGTTATTCACACCTGGGCTCTGCCAGGCCATGAATAACAATGAGGTCACATCTCCACTGATCCCCTAACGATGATGGCTCTGAGCCCCCTGCTGCCCGGTCCTTCTGTGGACTCCCAGGGTGCAGGTGAATGTCTCCAGGCCCCTCTTGGGCTTTGTCCTCAAGCTGCTCTCCACTTCTGCCACGGGGGCCTCCATGAGTGCTCACCACTCTACAGCCTCTCCACGCATGGAGGAGGCACCCCTGTCCTGAGCCCAGCGCCGGCCCTTGCTGCACTGTCCTCAGCGCAGCTAGCCCACACTGCAGCTCCTAGTACCACTACTACTGATGTCCTAGGATGTGTGAACCAGAGATGTGCTTGTGCCCTGGGGTGGCTGTTGTCACATCACCAGAAGGCTGGAATCCAATGTCAAGATTGCGGGCAGAGCCCTACCAGCTTCTTCCATGTATCAAGGACCCATTCTACCCTTTCATCCAGGATGCACAAACCTTGTCTGTGCCCCAGAGATCCAGCCGCCACAGGGCCCACTTCTGGGGTGTTCACTTCTCCCCAGATTAGCCTCTCCCAGATGATTGACAGGAAAGGTCCACTTCCTTCCAGGGAAGTCCCTCCCTTCCTCCCAGGGGTGCCTCTTACCCCATGACAACATATCAAGCTGACCTTCCTACCTCTGGGTCTTTCAGACTCAGTAATGTTACTGGTAGAACATCAGGGTCCTGCTGGGCATCCCATCCAAGCTTGACCTGCTTCCTTTTTGCTGTGTCCCCTTATAAAGAGGTAATTTCCCCAGTCTCCTTCTTCATTTAGGATCTCCCAACCCAATGCTCAAAACAGGAACACACCTGTCTGAGAGAACAGGCTACTTTTCAGGCACTGTCCTGTCTTGTTTCACACAGCACAATGCACTTTAAAAACAAAGTGTTTAAGGACACAGTGCTGACTCCTCATGTCCCACAGTTACCAAACACAGCATGTTACGATAGTGTTAACACTTGCTTAGCAGAGCCCTGGGATGCCAGATGGTGAGTAGACCACAAGAGAGACTGAAATTGAGACGCTCATCACTCACAGCGCACAGCGCCCCTGGGGGCCGCACGGGGAGGCCAGGCAGGTGCGGGCTGAGAGAGCAGCGCAGCCAGGGCACGCGCCTTTACTGGGGTCTGCGGATGGAGTACTCTGGGGGTCCCAGCTAAGGCTGATTGGTCAGTTCAGACCAAAGAGAATGGGGTTTTGATAAGCTCCACAGAAGGCAGGCCCTGGGAGGTAGAGGGCAACTGTTTATTGCAAGGACTGTTGGGGAGTCCTATCAGGAGCTCACATTTGCCTGTGACTGCGGGCTGCTGTCCAGGGCATTCGCTTGCATGAGGGGACTAGTGTCAGTTTAAGGTCTCGGCAGGCCTCTTGACCAAACAAAATGGATGCCGAGGCAGCAATACCATTGACTTAGCTAAACTATCCACACAGCACTCATTTTTCCCAGGTTAAGGGTCCCATTAGCTTCCCTAGGATCAACCGCGAGTACAGGGACCTGGTGCGCCTCATTCCGTGGATCTCTGTCAGGGAGCACCTCCCAAAGGGGTCTTTGGAAATAGTTACCACAGTGCCTGGGGGAATTTTACTGGCTCTAGTGGGCCAGGGCTTGACACCCTGTAATGTCCACGATGGGGCCACAGGGCAGAGATTTAGCACCCCCGCCCCATCAGGAGCATGGTCAGGGCCTGTTCAGGTGACTCCTGTGAACCCCAGAGGGGCACTGAGGGCCCCAAGACAGAAAACGGTGTTGCAGGGAGGTTGGTGTTTCCTGGGGTCTGTCCATCCAGGCTTCAAGCATGCTAAGGTTCAGGTTTCATTTCCAGACATCTTGTTACCAGCCTCCTGACTCCTGACCCTTGGCTCCTACAGATAGAGTTTCTCTGTCTTTCCACTGCCCTGTGACATGCATATGGTACTTGACCTTGAGCTGGGAGCAAACACAGGCACATCACCTGAACTTAAAGCCACACCCAGGAAAGCCACAACATCCCAGAGCCAGATCCCGCCCAGTGCCAGATCCCAGTTTTCCCTTTAGAGCCCAGCTCCCGGGTAAATCAGGTAGTTTACTTTGAAGCTTCAAATGATAGGTATTCAGAAGTTCAACAGTTCATTTGAACAAAAAACTAAATGGCTTTTTCAGTCAGAACAAGCAAAATAGAGGCTTGCTGATTATAAATCCACTTTAGACCTGCCTAGAGCAGAGTAAGCATCTGGAAAACATATTTATATTTTTATAGCAAATTACACTAGTGTGAGGAATTCATTATAGAGTGGTCAAATTAAATAGTTGCATTTCATTTATAAGTATCATTTTACAGTGTGCTTTTGTGCATCTGAAGGAACTGTGGCCTGTCATTAAACATTTTCTGCCTCGTGTTCCTTTTTCATCCATTTAAATGCCCTTCAGATTGACTTTACACCCAGCATGATGCTTTTTCATGGAGATGACTGTGTTCAGACCCATGGCTTGTTTCCTCACCCCTCACAAGATACTGTGTCTGGACCATGAACTGAGGCTTCACCATTTGTGGAGGGAACCAGGGGGCCGAAGGCATTTGTCTGAATCAGTCGGGAAGGTCCCAAGGGGAGTGTGTGCTGCACTGCCCTCATGTGCTGAGAAGGCCCCTTTATCCAAGGGAGGTGGTGCCACACTTTTACCTAAAGAGAGTGGACCATTTAGGAATGAGTTATTCCAGGCCACCTCTGGAGAGGTGCAGAGCACAGTGTGGCTGCAGATTTTGTAGTGGCCATCCAGGAAGGAAGAACGGAAAACGCTTGGGATTTCCCTGGAAATCTCTTTAGTAATGCCCTCGCCACAAACCTGTCACCACGGTGCCTTCACCTAGACAAGGGCACAGGGGTGTCCTCCTTTCTTTTCTGAGTCCTCTTTCTGCAGTGTGTGTCTGACCCAATGGATGTGAGTGAGACCCCCCTCACTGTGAGTTCATCCGTGGCTGTGGTGTTTGTGGCGCCTAACCTCTGAGCAAACACAGAACCTGAAGCTGAGGCTTCCGTTTCCAAGCCACCTTTAATTTCTGTTGTGTTTGTCAACTGTGGTGTCCAACTCTCACACAGCACCAGCTGTATACTAGAATTGAATATTGCTTATTGGATTTATACTGGGCATTTGAAGAAATACCCAGTTTTCTTAAGTTAACAAATATACAGATTTATTTGCCAAATGGCAAAGAGGGAGTTTGTGGTTTGGTCAGATATTTTCTACTTAAGGTGTAAAGAAAATAAATTTGGCTCACAAAGTAAACTGTCCCTATGTAGACCCTTATGATGGGCATCTTAGGGGATAAAATTGAACGAAGGCCCAGTCCTGGACCTTGAGAAACATGCCGTCTAGTAGGGAACCAAGAAGAGTGTTTGGGTATCAGTAATACAAGGCAGGCTGGGGACTCTGAAATTAAAAGGCTTTTCCATCGATCGAGATATAAGAAATAAGGTGCTTCTGAATGTAACAGCAGAATTAGAAGACATCTGCCACTTTTTTAAGGTTCTTTTTTATTTTTCTATCTTTGGACCTTCCCTAATATATCCTTTCTGCCTTTGTTGTTCATTGTTTTTGAGAAGAAATAACACTCTCCGTATGACTTAAGACTGCTTTAGAGCAACGGGTCTCACAGTGGGATCCCTTGGCCGGCTGGATCTGCATCGCCTGGGAACGTGTTAGAAATGCAGGTTCTCAGGCCCCACTCCTGTCAGAAACTTGTGGGGCCAGCGCCCGGGAATCTGTGCTCCTAAGCTCTCCAGGACGTTCCGGCATCCACTGCAAGTAGGGAACCACCCCTACGAGAAGCCCAGCCAGCCTGGGGGTGGGGGGGGGCGTGTGTTCTCTGCACAGTGCTTTCCAGTCAAGCTGAGTGCTTCTCACTGACAGTGTAGTTGGCAAATAAGCTCAGGAAATGCAGCAAAAGACATCTCTTCTTTGGATATTTGCCACATATATTTTCCTCTTAAAGACTTAGAGAAGTCCTGTGCTAAGGAGGTTTGATTCACTTTGCTGAACCATTAATTTCTGCAACTATTTGAGCACAGAAAACGTGATCACTGAGGGATACCTGTTGAAGTTGTATTGCTAGGATTCTGTGGAAGACGTTTTGGGAGAAACTTCTGGAGAGAGCTTTGCTGTCCACACACTGTCAGCATCTAAAGTGCCCTACGTAGAGAAGCCCCTGCAATGTGGGACTCATGCCTTAACCCTGTGTGCAAAGCCAGACCGGAAGCCACACAAGCAGCTCGCTCGTCTTTCCTTCCTTCCACCACGTGTCCATGCTCATTCCCCGCTCACACCCGCTTCATGCTCTGCCCTGCAACCAGAAGACGGGCTGACCTGCCGAGCCCTGCCGGAGCCGTAGAAGCCGCTTCATGTCCACGCAGAGTGTGGTGTATATGTCTCCACTCTTTCTACATTTGTGAAGCTCATGTAATTAGCTCACAAATGGTGGTTTGATATTTTTTTGGTCTATGCACTTTTGTAAGGAGCATTCATTATCAAATATTGTTATGACTGTCTTTACTAGGCTGTCCCCAAAGACCAGATTTTTCTATTCTTTCATGGAACGATTTTCTTTAAATGGCAAATTTTATTATTTAATTGAAGGATTAAAATTTCTATTATTAAAGCTTTGCCAAAGCCATGTGATTTCCCATCTGACTTGAAGAAGTCTGTGGTCAGCAAAGAGGATAGAGACACTTATAACAGGCCCTTCACATACATTACTCATTTACTTCTCAAAATTGCAGGGGTGGGGAATCCTGTGAGGTAGGTATTATTACCCCTATATACAGACTTACTGAGAAATGTATAGGTAAGAAACTTGCCTAGGTTGCATAGCAGTGGCTTAGAGTGGAGAGTGAGATCGCCAGGATTTGAATCTCTACTCTGCCTCTTAATAGCTGTGTGACCTTGGGCGAATTAAGTAGCCTCTCTGTGCTTCCATTTCCTCTTCTGAGAAATGAAGATGATATAGTGTCTACCTCACAGGGTTGTTGTAAGCTTTTATTAATAGATGTGAAATAATCAGAAAGATACTGGCGCATAGCAGGCGCTCAGTAAATGTCAGCTGGGGAGAGAAAAGCTAGAATAGTCAGGAGGAGCCCCAGCGTGACTAACCAGAGGGTCTTCAGGACAGTGAGCAGTACCCACTGTGGATCCAGTGACCAGGGAGGAGGTGCCACAGCTTGTGTCCACCACAGCCTACTGGGTGGTAAGTCTCAATCACCCTCGTGAAACATGGATTCAAATGGATGTCATTCTCTGCTCTCAGGTGCACGCCAGCCTTGTTTCTCTTGAACCTCTGTTACTCCAATTTCTCATTCTGGGTCTGATCCCCTTCTAACGTTTCACCTAAATTTTTAATTAGAATTTGTTTCAGGGCACTTGAAATATCATAAGTCACATAAAGATGGAATTACTCTTAAGTGCCTAAAATATTTTTAACTTCATAAAATCACTCTAGAAGGCCTTTCATGGAACCCGGTTTGCCCTGGATCCCCTTCCTCATCTCACCTGTTCCAGTAACAAAACAATTTGGCCGTTCCATTGGTGGCAGGCTTATTTTCCTTTGAAAGACCCTTTCAGATCACTGTTCCTCAGAGTGAAGAATTTTGACCATTGGCTCTTAGATGTTAGTATCAAAAATAATAGAAATTCATATATTACCGTTATTTTTATTTCAGTGGAGGTGGTAGAAACCAAAAACCTTAGGACCTCACAGCAGACGTTTATCACGAGGCTTATCACTGATGCAGGTCAGAACACCTGCAGCAGAGCTCTCAGACTGCACGCAGGAACTTGTGTGGTGAGGCCCGGCACCAGCCCAGGGCCATTCCTCAGATGCGGAAATATTTCCGCTGTCATGCGCACCAATAGGAGAACACTTGGGAGTTGCTGCGTTGCAGCCTTTCCAGAGCAGACTGCTGAGCATGAACTCATGACCACCAGTCAGGGCTGTGAGGGGGCTGGGTGGGAGTGGGGCTGCCTTAGTTTCCTGGGTGAACCAGAGATTAGTTGTTTGGCATTGGATGGCTGACTCATCCAGTTTCCCCACAATGAGACAGTGCAGACAACACACTTGAGTCATTAAAGAAATAGAGGGGTGCTGCTGAGAGCAAAAGGGCTTTTCTTCCAGGTGAGTACCAAGGAAATGCCACTGACTCACCATTTTTCATACAAGATCTACTTATATATAGAATGACTATGACTTGCCAAAAGCCAAGAAATTGCATCCTGTTACAGGTAAAAAATCACATAACAGCAAACACAAACATAGTGCATATCATGCACAAGGTACTGTAGTAAAACCTTTGCATATACTTATTTTATCCTCAGAAGACTCCTATGAGGTAGATACTGTTTTTATTCTCATTTTGCAGCTGAGGAAACTTGAGGCACAGACATTAAGTGACTTGCTCCAAGTCACACTGCTAGTAGGTGGCAGAGCCAGTGCTCAGTTCTAGACAATCCAGCCCCAGTGTCTCTGCTTTTATCAATTATTCTATCTTACTATAAAAGGGAATATTACCTCCATTTCTAATTATATACAGGCTATTTTAATATTACACAAATTTAAGGCAAGAAGTTTTACTAGAGATAAAGAGGAAAACAATAAAAAAAACAACAGGAAGATATAACCACCTTAAATATGTATATACCTTATAACATAGATACAAAATAGATAAAACAAAGTTTAACAGAACCAAAAGGAGACGTGGACGAATCTGCAGTCATGGAGATTTTAATACACTTTTCTCAATAAATGTTATAACAAGAAGACAAAAAAAAAATCAGCAAGTACATAGAAGATTTGAACTGTACTCATAACCAACTGAACTAACCTCACTGATATTGCTAGAACACTATTCCCACAACGGGAAGATGCATCTTTTAAAGTCTACCTGACACATTCACCAGAGTCATGTTCTGGGCCATATAGCTATGATTTTGAAGGTTTGAAATCAGAGTATGTTTTGACCATAATGGAAATTCACTAACAAAAAAGATAACTAGAAAATCCCCAAATGTATTAAAAATAACACAGTTCAAAATTCAAAGGAAAATCACAGTAGAAATTAGGAAATGTTTTGAATGAAGTAATTAAATTGCAATATATCAAAATTTGTGGGATGCAGGTAACAGATTGGAGAGAGATTCAGAGCTTTAAATAAATAGAAAAGAAGTTTGAAAATCCATAATTTGAGTTTTCATCTCAAGAAGCTAAAAAAAATCAAATTTAACCGAAAGAAATCAATGACACAGAAGGCAGGCATACATTAAAGAAAATCAGTAAAACCAAAAGCTGGTTCTCTGGGGACATCACTTACAGTTAAGTATAAGAAACACCTCAGTACGTTTCCTTCACCCTCCTGCCCCTACCATCCACAAAATTCTGAGTTAGAACATCAATTGTCTACAGAGTGGGGTTTTTTTAAGCCAGTCCTCCCACAGGAATGCTTTATACCACTATCGATATTAGTTTGTCAATTCCCTTTTCGACTTTGAGTCTCTGCCAATTCTTTTCTAACTGTTCTCCTGTCTCTGTTTGTTCCATGCTAAGCAGATGGCCCAGAAATTAGCCAAAAGCAGGAAGAAGGTGCAGTACAAACGACCTCATCAGCTTGGTGTTTTGCCTGCTCTTTTCATTTATTTATGTTTTGCCTTTTTATTGTTTTATGTTTTTGTTTTCTGCATCCAGCAAGTTTTTGTTTAGATTTCTTTTTGAACCGCCCCATAAGCCAACGTTTCTCAAAACTTAGTTGCCTAAAGTGGCTGTTTTCTGTTGCTCATTGGTCATTTCACTTCAGAGGAACAACAGGGAGCAGATTGGAGATGCTGAATGAATCACGTGGTAGCGTGGAAGTTCCCACCATTCAGGAGCACTAATGTGGCAGGGATTTGGGTCTGTTCAATTCTAGTCATGCTTGATTTGTGGATCTGTCAGATTGCTGGATGCAAAAAAGAAAACTTGCTAATAACCACATGTGTGCAGAACTAAGCCCTCAATAAACCAGACTGGTGTGCTTTTTTGGTTGTGGAGCTTCTAGGTGCTTATGAGCTACTGATGGGGTATTGAGGCCTTGGGGCTCTTTCTTAATGGGGTGGCTTCAGGAGTGGGTTCTGCTTCTGTGTTGCTGTGGTGGTTTGTGAACATGAAGACCCTCTTACCAGAACTGCACCCAAAAAACTTCATTTGCACCTGTGCTACACATTGTGCCCCATAACCTAAACAGGGGCAAATTCAAAGCGCCTTCTCCAAGGTCTTGGGGTTTGCATCCATTCGCATTATGCTTTCAATCTTTTGGGCTCTAAAAGCCTTGCAGAAAGGACCGTTCACATCCCGTGTTCATGGAGTCATAACTGCAGTGAGTTGCTGCTTCTCTAGGGAAAGAAGCAGAGGGACTCCGCGTTTTCCCCTGTATCCTGGAGCGGCTAACTCTTGTCCACGTGTCCATCCTCTGCATGGTCCTTCAGCTTTGGCAGTCTAACTCTGGAGTCTGCCCTGCTGTTCTGGTGACTGTGTCTCAATTCCTCTGTGTGAACTAATCTGAGTCGGAGTAATGTACTGAGCTGTCCCTTGGTGCATTTTTCTTCTCAGGCTCCTGAAGGTGAATCTCAGCCAATGACCGAGGTGGATCTCTTCATTTCTACTCAGAGAATCAAAGTATTGAATGCCGACACACAGGTATTAGCTGGCTCCCACCTTGCCCAGGGTTGGAACTCAGCAGCATGCAGCTCAGAGACTGTGCCATGTCTGTAGAGCAGCTGTACCCTGACACTGGCTTCCAATACAAGCGAGACGGTAGTGTCTGCAGCGCCTGCTGCTGGGGGGTTGAGGCATGGGGACTGTTTTCTTAAAGATCAAAAGTCAAAATAAACTATGGATGTTGTTTGCTAATAATTCTTATAAGCTTTGATCAGAAGATGTGTTCACTTGTACAGATGAGACTTTTAAGAAATTTTGTTTAAAATCACAACATACGTGAAAACAAAATACTACCATCACATGTAGATTTTTTCATCTTTTTATTTTAACTTTCTCACCAGAGATTTTACAGGCTGTAAAATGATTGAAATTTCTTTTCATATACAAGAGATCACTTCTTGCTCTGGGCTATTATTAGCCAAGGGAATTGCCTCCAGGCATGGGTAGGTGCATGTAGATCTGTCAACAGGGTCTTGGCAGTGAGCTGGGAACACCCTGTTTGTGGACCACACACAGCCGGGCTGTGATATGGTAGACTCTCTAATGGGTCATTAGATGCTGCACAGGATTTACCACCCTCTCCCTCACGCCCTCCAGGAGACGATGATGGACCACCCTCTGAGGACCATTTCCTATATCGCAGACATCGGAAACATCGTCGTGCTGATGGCCCGCAGGCGGATGCCCCGCTCCAACTCCCAGGAGAATGTGGAAGCCTCCCACCCATCCCAGGATGGAAAGAGGCAATACAAGATGATCTGCCATGTCTTCGAGTCCGAGGATGTAAGGGTGTTTCCCCTGATCTCCCTCTGGGTGACCTGGGCTGCCCTTGACTAGCCAGATTCTCTTATAATCAGGATCAGTTGAATTAATCACACATGAAACAAGTATTTATTGAGCACTTATTATGTGCCAAGCACTTCTCTAGTTCTAGGGATAGAAGGTTGAGTAAAACAGACAAGGTACTCAGCATAAGGCTTGTAGGGAGACAGAAAATAGATAAGTATACTTAATATAAAATTAGGTAGTGGCAAGTTCTATAAGAAAAAATAAAACTAGGTCTAGAGATAAAGAGGATCTTTCTCAGGTATCTGAGGAGGTGACGTTTGAGCAGAGACCTACGTGAAGTAAGAGTGGAGAAAGCATGTGATGTGCAAAGGCCCTGAGGCAGGGGCCTGCTGATGTAAACTGAGGAAGGGAAAGGAGGACAAGCTGCTGGAAAGCCTAGAATGAAAAGAGTAGGAGGAATGCAGAGCCATAGGAGTCCAAGCAGGCCTCACCTGGGCACCAGGGCATTTGGGAGGACATTTCTTGGGCATGCAGGGCTGCCCTATGGGCTGCAAGGAAGTTAGGATTCTTCTCCCTTCCCACCAGCCATTCGGAGCACTGTGCACCCACTCCCACTCATAACACCAGCGGCTCCTCCTGTCACAGGGCCAGTGATTCCTAACCCCATCTTTCCAGGCGATGAAGTCAACAGAGAAAATTTGCTTACAACAGGCGGGTGCATTCTTCCATTTACCCTCCTTTCCCCAGTTGTCCCTGGAACTGCTGGCAAGGCTACCAGGCTTCAAGCCACATCAGTGCCCAAGGTGCTCCTGAAGCCTGGCAGACCTTGAAGCTCCCTTCCGGGTGAGGACCACAGCCCATAAAGGCTTTGAATTGTCCAGCCCCCAGAGAGACCATGTCAATGCCACTGACTATGCTAATTTTCCCTCCTGCCACAGAGTAATAAGCTCTGCTTCTCGTATTGAGCAGAAAGCCCTATACCTACCTAAAGAAAATTGCCTGTGGTAGCCTTGGCTGCTTAAGAGGCCATTTTTCTCCAGCAGAGAGTTCATCTAGCTGCAGTAAATTGCCTTCCTCCAAGAAGTTAGGAGTCAGAGGCAAGCTGCTTTTCTCCAGGGAGCCAGAGCTGGCCTGACTGCAGGCAAAGAGGAGGAGATGCTTTCTCTTTTGGGACCCTCCTTTTCAGTCTGGTTCTCTGGAAAGCAGCCCCCCGGGGCAAGTTCACCGAGAAGGCAGAGAGCTTGAAGTACCTCTCCCAGCCATTCTCCAGGCCATTCCTTTAAAGCTGAGGCGAAATGTGCAAACTGGGAGAAAAGTGAGTTTTAGAAGGTTCTCAGAAAGTTCTAGCGTTAAATTTAGGAATCTTCAGCCTCCTGTGTCGAGGTCAGTGGAAAAGAGGAGTTAGCTCTGCTCATCAGGCATGAGGAGCTCTATATGACCCTTCACCATCCCCACCTGGCCAAGGCGGGGTTCCTTTTCCTACGGGTTCCTGGTGGGAAGATGACAAAAGAAAAGGATGGGGAAGCAAGAGTTGGACTCTTACCTCTTTGCTTCCAAACAAAGGATGAGAGAAGGGCATTGGCTCCAGCGCTGGGAGAGCTGGACATGCATCCTGCTTCCACATACACATGTGAGGCCACAGAGCATTTGTAACGTGACAATGCTTCCCTTCCTGGGTTGCTGCATGACTCCAGGAGAAATTGCATTAATAGCAGCAGCCTGTGTTCACCAGGTGCATCCACAAATGATGGTCAGCAGGTCTGCTGGTGGCATCCTCAGGCATGTATCTTTCAGTGCCTCGGTCCACACGTGCCTCTGATACCTGCAGATCCTCAGTCCTTCCAGGTGTACAGCAGGGTGTGGGGTGGTAGGCTTGTGGCTTGTGGCATGTGAAGGCACCAGATTCTCTGGGTGAGAAAAGAAGTTTTTTTCCCAGAGACAGGCACACAGGAAGTTCTGGTACCACCATTAATTAGCTGATTTTAGCAAAAATAAGAAAGGTAGGGAAAGGACAAAGAAAGCAGGTTAGAGCAGTGTGTTTTTACGACATTGCTCTAGAAGTTTTTGTTGTTTTATTGTTTTTCTACCCATCCAAATTTCACAGAGAGGTAGCCCCATGGGGTGGTCAAGCAAGTGGGCTCTGGAACCTGCCTGCCAGGCTTCAGCACCCCCAACCCACGCCATTCCCAAGCTATGAACAGCTTAACCTCTGATTTCTGATCTGTCCACTGGGGACAAGGAAATAGACCCATAATTCCAAAGCCTAAAGAGCTCTGAGAAACAAATAGGACTTTTGTGGTCAATTGGCAGATAAACCTCCCTGAGCTGCCGTGAGACAATTTACAGAATTTGCCCAGCTTACTTTGAGCCTTACACTTTTTGCAGCAAGAATATTACTATGTTCATTTATAGGGCACTTCCCCAGGCCCTAAAAGGGTTATTATACAATGTGTGATATATCCCCCTGTTACTTTCAAAATTCTGGAAATTTCTGAATTCTGAAACAAAATCAGCCTTAAGAGCACAGGATGAGGGCTTGTGGACCTGTCATACTTACATCAGCCAGAGACTTGCTGTAATGGTCCATGTGATGGTCCTTGTATAGCGTTTAATGCAGTCCAGGATCATACGAAGTTCCCAGTTGCTACCAGCTACCCCAATTCATAATGTTGGGGATAATGCAGTGGAAGGTAATCAAAGCCCAGTGCAGGAGAACAGTGGAAGCAGAATTCCCTCCTATGAGCTGTGTTACCTTGAGCAGGTTCTTCTTGTCTCTGGGCCTCAGTGTTCTCACCTGGAAAATACAGGGCTGAATAAATAGGGGGCTGAACTAGATGGGACCCAACACTTCCTTTCCACAACAAATATTCTGTAATGCCCCACATTACTATCCTAAAATGAAATTCACAGATAATGTAACCTCCCCTTTTGAAAACTTTTTCATAGAACAACGTCATCACCATAAATCTAACACCAAAGATATAAAAGGAAAGCAAGCTAAAATAAAATTGTGCTTACTATAATATGTAAATGCTGGGGCCTAACCATCCCAGAAGGAATAATGGAGTCATTGGATGGGTACACCTACTTAATTAATAGGTTTGAATATGGGAACAGATTATTCAGCTGAAGATTGTAAACACTTTGTTTGACATGTTGAGTTGGGGGCTAAATGAGAATGTAGTTTGGTAGGTAGACAGACATGCCCACATGCAGGATCACCACACTATACAGGGAGCATGCAGGCTGACGGGGATGTGATTTACTGGCAACCATAAATAGCAGTGATGTTGACAATTTTCCAAAGTCTTGAAGCTTACTCCTAGGACAAAACAAAATATCATCTTCTCTCACTTTGCTTAGTAGTTGTATTATTGGAACATTTAATTTGTATTATAATCATACAATTATTAGAGTTGAATCTTGAACTCTGATAATTAGGTAGAGGTGCTGCATGTCTATGGATGTCCAGTGGGACATTCAGAAATCTTGCAGGATATGGAATGATTCATCACGTGTGATCTGTCTTTGGCATGAAAGTAAGTCCAGCATCTCTGACTCCTGGTCACTGAGCGCCAGTAGCTCCCTTGTGACCATTGTCATAAAAATGTCCCCACTAACTGAAAATGACCTTGGACAGTCATTAGTGCCCCACATAAGCCCACTGGCTGCACAGTCCTGAGGGGAGCTTGGCTGTCCACCAGCAGGCTGCCCTTTGCCATCCATCCCCCCTCTTTGTGCTCTCTAGGCGCAGCTGATCGCGCAGTCCATTGGGCAGGCATTCAGCGTGGCATACCAGGAGTTCCTCAGGGCCAACGGCATCAACCCCGAAGATCTCAGCCAGAAGGAGTATAGTGACCTGCTCAACACCCAGGACATGTACAATGACGACCTCATCCACTTCTCCAAGTCGGAAAACTGCAAAGATGTAGGTACTTTCCTGAAGCTGTTCTTCAAGGTGGGCAGTTGGGACAGGAGCACTGGGCAGCAGGGCCGGGAGCAATAGGCAGGAGCCCCAGGAGTGCTGGGCAGATGCACTGGGCAGGAGCCCCAGGAGCGCTGGGCAGATGCACTGGGCAGGAGCCCCGGGAGTGCTGGGCAGGAACCCCGGGAGCGCTGGGCAGGTGCACTGGGCAGAAGCCCCGGGAGCACTGGGCACGAGCACTGGGCAGGAGCCCCAGGAGCGCTGGGCACGAGCACTGAGCAGGAGCCCCGGGAGCGCTGGGCACGAGCACTGTGCAGGAACCCCGGGAGCACTGGGCAGATGCACTGGGCAGGAGCCCAGGGAGCACTGGGCACAAGAACTGGGCAGGAGCCCCGGGAGCGCTGGGCAGGTGCACTGGACAGGAGCCCTGGGAGCACTGGGCAGGTGCACTGGGCAGGGGCCCCAGGAGCACTGGGCACAAGCACTGGGCAGGAGCCCCAGAACGCTTGGCAGATGCACTGGGCAGGAGCCCCGGGAGTGCTGGGTGGGTGCACTTGGCAGGAGCTCTGGGAGCGCTGGGCGGGTACACTGTGTAATGCTGCTATGGATGTGGAAGCAGAACAGCTGGAGGTGAAGAGTGTGGTGTTGGCCAGACGTGGCTAAGGGCTGTGGCCTGCAGAGGCCCCTCTGGCTCCCCTTACTGCGGCCCTTACTCTAGACTGCTGCACAGGTGGAGCAGCCAGCCAGGTGGGACATGCTCTGCTCCTGGCAATCCCAAGCTATGTTTGGGGTGGGTTCTTGAGATGGCAGGACACGAACTCTGCCCTTTCCCAGCCTACATTCTAGGAGAGTGCACAGATAATGTAAATGATGGTGCTGGGCACCAGCGCTAGTCCGAGACAAGTGTGCTTGACAGAATGGAGCAGATCTTGGGTCTCAGGTGGTAAGTGCTGTGCTCTAGGGATGACGCTATTGCTTCAGACCAACATCTGCAGGAGCTTCTGGAGGAAACAGGGCCATCTGGGCTGGACTACAGGTCTGGGTAGTTTTTCGTCTGGCCGATTCAAAGTCAGAGAAGCATGGAGGTCAGAAAGCTCAGGAGTTGTCTGGGGAGCTGTGAATGAGATGGTGTGGCTGGAGCAGGGGTGTGCATGGGCAGGGACATCAAGAGGCCAGGATGGGATTCAGGTCAGACCTGGAGGGCTTGACAGTCCAGCTGAGGGATGTGGACTTTATCCAATAGGAAAAAAGTGCCTTCATGACAAAATGATCTTTTTATCCACTAACATATGTTAAGTGTCCTGGGTTTCCTAGATGCAGAGCCCGAGACAGGGATCTTGTTCAAGGGATTTTGGGGGAGAGTACACTCAGGAAAAAGTGAGTGTGGGCAGCAGGGTGGTGGGGATGCTAAGGAGGAATGTGGCCTCACTGGAGAAGAGCTCCATTCTGATCCAGAGGGAAGCTCTGGGTTGCAGATTGCAGGACAGATTTGTCCAACTTTGGGTCAAGGTTGCTGACAGGCTTTGTACCCTGTGCCAGTCAGTCCTTGACACCAAGGTTGGAGGTAGGTATGCTCATGTTGCCTTAATACAGCACCACAGACTGAGTGGATTCAGTGACATAAATTTATTCTCTTCCAGTTCTGGAGGCCAGAAGTCTGCGATCAGAGTGTCAGCAGGTCTGGTTCCCTCTTAAGGCTGTGAAGGAAGGATCTTTTCCTGAAGCCTCTCTCCTTGGCTTATAGAAGAGTCTTTACCCTGTGTCCTCATATCATCCTCCCTCTGTGCTGTCTCTGAATCCAAATTTCCCCTTTTCAAAAGGATAGTAGTCACATTGAAATAACCTCATTTTAACTTGATTACCTTTCTAAAGACCTTATCTCCAAATAAGGTCACATTCTGAGGTACAGAGGTACGGGGGTGGTTAGGACTCCCATGGAAGAATTTTGAAGGGGACACATTTCAGCCCATAACAGGGGTTGTCTCCCAGTGGGCAGTTCTCCAGAGACGAAACTAATGGTGAGCTTCAGCAGCCAGAAATGGCCTGTGAGGGGACTGTGTCAGACCCAGCGGCTGCCTCTATAGCATGTGCATGAGCACACGTGTATCTGTGAATATGAATAAATGAATGCATACACTTTTTGTGGAAGCTTCCAGAAAGTGTGTAACCCCTGTAAGGTGTCACTGCAAACCTTGGCAGACTACAGGTATTCAAAACCAACTCCTGTCTTCTCTGCCCTGCCAAGGAAGGCCACAAACATTATGCATATCCAAAACATTGTCTTTCCATCTGCTCTCCCAACCTTTTGGTTTTGATAACTTTTAGCATCCTTTTTCCATTTTCCTAGCTTTCTCCTTGCAGAAAAGTGTTTCTGTAGTGTATATTTATTTGTTTTTAGTCACATGATCAGGAATTGTAAATGTTGGGAAGAATTTGCAAGGTGCTGTGGAATAAGGGAACCTGGGCACAGAATCCAAAAGCTATTTCCAGAAACCAAAATGTGCCACTAAATCTCCCACCTCTTCCTCTCTCACTGGGGACTAGAAAAAAAACACCTGGTACCCCTTGTGGTTGTATTGCCAATGTAAGATTTCTTTTATGGGACTAGAATTATAAAAGAGGGTATGGACCTTTGTTAAATCATTTCTTACAAATACCAAATGCCATGGAATACAGAAAAGACTGGACTTATTTGGGTTGGAATAATCAGTAAAAATGCCTTCTTTAGTCAAGGCAGGAAGAGGGGAAATGCTTTGATTTCTGTCACTACCCTGGATGGTTACTGATTCAAGCTTTCTAAGTGTTTTTTTTTCCCCTCCCTTTCAGGTCTTCATAGAGAAGCAGAAGGGAGAAATCCTAGGTGTGGTGATTGTGGAGTCTGGCTGGGGATCCATCTTGCCCACCGTGATCATCGCCAACATGATGCATGGAGGGCCCGCAGAGAAATCAGGGAAGCTGAATATCGGGGACCAGATCATGTCCATAAATGGCACCAGCCTGGTGGGCCTGCCTCTCTCTACCTGCCAGAGCATTATTAAGGTACCTTAATACCTTATTACCTTAATAAGCATTAATAAGCTTAATACCTTAATAAGCATTATTAAGGAAATGGGAATCCAGTCATTAATATTTGACACCGAGGAGGACACATATACAGAAGGCATGACTGGCACTCAGGTTGTTAACCGTCAGGTTACTAAGTACAGATTCCTCCTTGAAATCATTTTTAGATCAAGGATGGTATGTTTGGTTCACATAATACCACCGTCTAGTACTGTGCCCATCACAGGCATCACTAATCAATCGCAGCCCAGACTCATCCTCAACAGAATGTTCCTCAGCTTAGTAATGCAGACAACCACTTATAGTCAGTGAGAAGTGCTTGAGGTGATTTACCATCCCTGTTACAAATCATGCAAAAGCTTCTAATTCAAGAGCACTTTTTTCTTCGCAGTGGCCATGGCTGTGATCCAGGTGAGTATATCTTCCCCTAGAGCCTGCAAAAAGCAATCCATATGTGCCCAGGTGCTGGAAGGAAGAAACTGGTATAATCTATATATTCCTTCTCATGAAGAGGAACATGATTACTTCTTATCCAACCTGAACTGATGCTCATGCATGAAGCTAAGAAGAGCTACTTAAAAGAAAATTAAATGTGAATTTTTGAGAGTAAGAAATTAGATGTTCTTAGAAATGAAGCATCCATATGTAGTCTTCCAAAGCACATTGGAACTAGCTGGTTGCATAGTTACTAGGAACAAGAATACTCCTCCTCCACTGCATACCTGGAACCCCCACTAGCTGTACACCAAGGGGCTATGAGGTGCTACAGACCCTGCAGATAGACTGGGATCCTGTGGCTTTCTTTGGTCCCTTGGGGTTTCCTGAAAGACTGAACTAGAACATAGAATGTATATGTGAGAGAGAGTGAAAGTCTGAAAGCAAGAGTGAATAAATTCATATTATAGTTATTCTGAGCAAAAGAGAATCACAAAAAACAATGTTCCTGGAGAAGGAGTCAGAGGTAGAGGTCAAAGTGCATGTATAGGATACAGAGGTGTGTGCCCCTTTGTTCTTAATGAAACAGATAGTATTCTAATTCCTCATAAGATTATCCCACCCAGAAAGAAATAGTCCTCTTTGACCTCACTTAATTTCTTTTTTTACATCTTACACTTAAATAAATACTACCTCTTGCTTAAAATACATTAAAGATAAGATTAAAGAGCCCACTTTGAACATGTATATTCATTTAAACATGTTTAAATGGGCCTCTGTTAGGGTGAAGCCAGAATGACAGTATGTATGTAGAGGATAATTTATAGTTGAAAGGGCTCTGTGTGCCCTAATGGCAACGTAGAGGTGAAATGCTGTGAGCACATAGAGGGGGAAGAATTTTATTTGATTTTTAAGGTGGAGCCTTGAAGAAAGAGTAAGACCTCGGTGGTACCAGAAAGGAAAGTGGCCTTTGGGACTTTGTGCTTGAATTGATGGGCAGCGGGCTGGCTCTGTGGCAGGGAGAGACAGGTCTGAGCCTGACCTGGGGAGGCCAGGAGTGACTGGGGGTGGGGAGTCAGGACCATCCACATTTGCTGTCTCACATATACATGCCAAGGCTCATGAATGCCCTTTCATACCAGTGAGTAAGTTACTTACATACCTGTGCACGTGGGAACCACTGAGGGACCCTGGGAACCAGACACGCTAGATACAATCTATGCCCCAAGGGAATGAAAGAGTGATTGAGTGCTGAGCGCCTGGCACCTTTCCAAGAATGTCATGGCCACTCACAGAACCGCATGGCAGCCTTCTGTAGGGTAGGTATTGTTGTCATGCCCATTATACAATTTAGGAAACTGAGGCACCAAAAGATGATATAATCATTCACAGTCCTAGCCAGTCAGTGGTGGAGCTGGGTCACTCAGCCACCCTGTAAAGTCCCAGCAGGGTACATGGTCAGATCCTGGGGCAGTGGTTCTCATCTTGAGGTGGGGAAGGTCTTGACCACCCCTGAGCCCTGGGGGACATTCGGCAATGTCTGGAGAAGCTTTGGGGTGTCACAGCTAGGGAGGAGGAGATACTCCTGGCATCTACCCCGTAAAGGCCAGGATGCTACCCAGTTCCTGCAGTGCACAGGACAGCCCCCCGTGCAGAGAACACCCAGCCCAGGATCAGTGGTGCTGAGACTGAGAAAGCCTGCTTAGGGGCAGAGGAGTCCAAGATGTGGGAGAAAGCGAGGTTGGTCAGGGAGGTTGGGGTGTTGATCTTGGTCGGGCAGGGTTTAGAGAGGAGGAGCCAGGAGAAGGGATAACTTGAGTGAGGGTGGAGCTGAGGCCTGGGTGGGAATGAGGGCTTCTTGAGAGTGGGTGAGGCTGCTTATCAGCACCCATTACACTCCTGCCAGGCAGTGCTGGACCGTCCCACCCACCTCATGACCGTTGGCTCACCAGGGAGGGAGTCGGTGCACACCTGGCTCACAGACCAGTCATCAGAGGCTTGGGAGGGGGAGAAGACTTGCCCAGGCTCCCAGGGGACAGACAGTCTGGGTACCCAGGCGACCCTCTGTGCCCCTCCCTGCCTCTGCACACAGGAGGTAGACGAGATGAAGACCGCTGAGACCAGGAGGGCAGCTTCCCCTGTACCACACAGGGACTCATCTTCTGTCCAGTGGATCTCACAGCAGAGTGGAAACTTGCCCAGAGCACTATCTGAGCCATTCATTTCCCAAGGGAAAGGTTTGTTTGCACCATTAGCTGACCCTTGATGTCTACAAGTGGAGTCTCTATGGAATCAGAAAGTTAAAAAGCCATGTGGTGATGAAAGAGATACAACATAAAGATGGAGAGTAAAGCAGACAGTGCGTCCAAGTCTGCCCTCAGCCAAGTACTTCGTGAGGCAGGACTCAGCCGAACTTCCTCAGCTGCTTTGTCCAGAGGAAAATGTGGTGGTCCACCCTGGCTGGAAGAACTCTACCACTGACTTGAGCAAGAATTGCCAGGACTAAATGAACACTTTTATTGGGTTGTATTATTGTTTTTAAGTTCCATAGACAAGAAAAGTCTTTCGCCTTCACCTGAGCAGGTGTTCAGTCTGGTGAGGGTGGAGCTGAGGCCTGGGTGGGAATAAGGGCTTCTTGAGGGCCCACCCTCTTGGGCCACTGCAGGGGAATGTTCTGGACGCCTTCAAGGCTTCAGGTTAGTACTGCTTGTTTAGGTGTCATGTCAGTGCGCCTGGCAGTGACTTTAACGAGCAGCTCATACCCGGATGAATCAGCGCTTTGCAAACTGTGAAATGGCCTGCGAAGGTGGGGGTGGGCCCATGTGAGCATCTACTCAGGTGAGGGCAAAAAGGAGTTGTGTTTTCTATGGAATTTAAAAACAGTAATATCTGGGATCTTGTTAAAATGCAGTGACCTGATTCCGCAGGCCTAGGGTGAACGTCTGTGCGGTCAGCAGCTCCAGGGGATGACGTCGCCCATCTCTGGGCTGTGCCCTGAGGAGCAGGGCCTAAGGCACTGTACTGTGCATCTTGCCGCTTGAATGCACGATGACCTTTTCCTGCTGGTTACAGGAAATAGAATACATGTCTAGAATAGAGTTACAGGTATTGAATTATTTTAATTACTTTCTTCACTAGCTCTCATTTCTTCTGTCATAATTCCTGAAGTGTAATTACTGGCCGGCAGAACATGTCGGCAGACCCCTGTTCAGGGCCTCTATGGTCCTGCCCCCCGGTTCTGCTTTTTTCTTTTTGAAACTAGAATACGGCTTCCCCTTCTGCCCCAGGATCATCCTTTTTCTGCTTTCCTGTTGCTATAGAAACCATTCTGGCTTCTCTCCTGTCCTGTCCCTCTTCCCTACCTTCCCCTCCCACAGTATGTCTTAATTTGCTACACTATTTCACTGTTGTCATGGGGACGCACTGACCGGTTGGCTAATTGGCACCTCCAGTCAATGGCAGCTCAGATGGCCAAGTTCATGGGGCCCGCTGGGAGCCCTGGTGAGGGACGGCAGAGCAGACGCGCCATCTGCCTGTTTCAGGTCGCCATCCCTCTAAGCCTCGTCTCGCAGCGCATTTCCCAATCTAGAAATCCTTTCGCTGAGGGACAGATCAGGCATCTTACATCAGTCCATGCAAGAGGAAGGAACCCGCCAGAGCAAGATGAACTTCTTAGTTAACTTTGAGGAAACAGAGCCATTCTTCTGCTTTTCAGTGTGCTCCATTGGGTTTTTCTGACCTTCACAAACATCCCTACGTAATCCCAGTGGTTACTATGGATAAACATTTAAAGCAGGTGGCCTTCGGAATGGCCATGATTCTGACAACAAGCTTCTCATTTTCAGAATCCTTGCCTCTTGGTTCCCACAGATTCCTGGCGTGTGATTGTCCGTAGTGGGAGGAGAAGGCACCCAAGGCCCCGTGGCTGCCTTGGCACCCTGCAGCCCTCCCCTGAGTCCCTGGGGACCCAGCTCCCCACACTCCCAGGGCCTCACAGGTTTCTTGGCTCACTGCAAGTGATCAATAAATATTTACTAAGTGACTAAGAGGAGGTCCTCAAAGAAGGTGGTGCTATTGCCCACAGGCCACAAGTACTTCCGGACTCCGCGAAATAACAAAGACATGTTGGGGCCCCGTTTGCCTCCCGTGCGTGTGCCTGGGTGGCCACTGTATCCACTGTGCCTTACCCACATTTAGGGCTTGAAGAATCAGCCCCGGGTGAAGCTGAATATCGTGAGGTGTCCTCCGGTAACCACCGTGCTGATCAGGAGACCAGACCTCCGCTACCAGCTGGGCTTCAGCGTCCAGAATGGAATCGTAAGTACAGCTTTAGACCTTTCTCCAAAAGTCTGACAAACAAAACTGAGGCTCACGGTTCATTTTATTAAAGCCAGTCCATTCCCTGAAAGAATCCAGCAAGGAAAGGGATGAATAGGTGAGGGCAGGCTCGGCTTCCCCCACGGCCCGAGCCAGGTCCTACCCCATGAGGAGAGGCGGGTGCCTCACAGCGCCCTGGCGCTCAGAGTCCAGCATGGCTGTGGCGGTGCAGGGTGGCCCTCCTAGCAGACAGCTTGACACTGTCTCAGGTGTACCGCTAGGGGTTCCCTCCCCAGCCGCCCCAGGGACTGCTGTCTGGCCACCACCCTGGCTGTACATGGAGCCCGCAGAGCTGCTGCAGCTCCTCAAGCCGGGGGTGGGGAGCGCTGGGCTTGCCGGGGTTCAGGGCCCTGGTGGCTCCAGTGCGGTCCAAGCTGAGCCCCCGCCCCATGGTGGTACTGTGTGAATGGTCTCCGCCTGGCCTTTTTAACCTGCCAGGCACTTTGGGGCTAAAGAACATTGTCATCACCGGGATGTCTGCCTTAAAATAAGACATTCTTTTCTGTCTTTGTTGTGGTAAAATCTACACATTAAATTTATCATGAACACCGCTTTTGAGCATACAATTCAGTGGCATTGAATACGCTCACAGAGGATTAGGACTATCACCACTCTCTCCAGGGCGTTTTCTTCATCCCAGACAGAAACCTCTTACTCAATACTAGCCCCTTTTTGTCTGATCTGCCTCGTTCTGGATTCCTGGGAATCAGGGCTTTGGTGACAAACGTGCTCCTTGTCCGTAACGTTCCTGATTTTATAGGCTATGCATGCACCCTTTTTGCCTCCATCCTTCCCAATACAACAGCCCTATTCTTCCCCCATTAAGTTTCAATGAAGAGTTACAGGTAATTAAAATGTTATTCTAAGAATGTTTTAAGTTTAGAGACCCCTTGAAGTCCCAGTCAAGGTAGAAATGCCCAGCCCGCTTCATCTGTTTTTTTGAACCTTAGTGACCTCGATGTCCTCTTGTGGGCAGAGTCAGAGTTATTCCTTCTAGTTTTGGTCTGACACCCTGTTTTTATCTGTTGATGCTTCCTTGTTTGCTGAGTTCAT